AGAGAGAGAGAGAGAAAGAGAGAGAGAGAGAGAAAAAGAAAGAAAGCGAGAGAGAGAGAGAGAGAGAGAGAGAGAGAGAGAGATTAATATAGGAATGTAGGAAGAAATTAAGAAAGGAAGAAATTTTGAAAATATAATCGTTGCTCACGCCTCTGGGCACATTCTTAAACAGTTACGTATTCTTTTGTATCTTTTAATTAATATTTTATCTCTAAAAATTGAAGAGAGCTAGAGGCTCTATATATAATATTTTATTTAGAGAGAAAGAGAGAGAAAGAGAGAGAGAGAGAGAGACTCCCCTGCCAAAAATATCGAAAAAAAATTTTGAAAACTTTTACTGATAGAATGTTTAGAAAATGCAACGCATAAAACGATAATCAGCAATGCCGATAATAGAGGAGAATATTGTCACACAAAGCTCGCGCGGCGGGAGACCTGCAGCAGGTCGTTACACCTGCTGTGCGTCTCAAAAGCGCGAACATTAAAGGCGGGTTATTTTTATTAAACGATGATTATCGAGATTAATGATCGAATATTAATCACTGACCAAAATCGGATGTACCTGCGAAGGAGTTCTTCTCAACTATACGCGTGGCAAACGTATATTTGTGTACGAAAAATAAATGTAATTTGTAATTCGGGAAAAATAGATGTAATTTTTACTTTAGGAAAAATAAATGTAATTTGTGATTTGAATAAAACGATTACGATCTTACGATTATTCGTTGCTTTTAATCATGTTAATGAAAACAGTTTGTCTCATGATATAATAATCTCGTAGTATAAAAATAAATTTATATTTTCAAAGATTCTATAATATGAGTTATCATAACAGGTGGCTTTTACTAGAATAACTCGCACAGTTGACGCGTATACCGTCATAAATTTAGAAATTTATTATACTTTTAAGAAATGTAAGAAATATATATAAAGGCATGACGTTCACACACAATAGTGTACCGGAAATTTTTATAAATTTTGTCACGAACATCTATATGTAACCGATGCTATATCAATGCATAATCTTTGATTTGAGTTTTTTAGATGAAACACGATGATCTATGAATCTGATACCATATGTTTAAGTCAAAGTACATTAATGTTGCATCCAGTTAAATTAATCAAATAAACTTTTATTCTTTGTCTGTATTATAAAGTAATGTAAATAATATAATACGTGATCTAAAAAAAGTAGCAGCTTAGCAAAAATTATAAAATATCGGTGATATCAATGAAAAGTAACTACAAATCTATCAGTTTTTAGAAGAATTATTTGCACAATAGTTTCTATTGCTAAAAAAATAGGATAATGAGAATCATATCTAAGTTAATACACGACTACAAAATTTTATTTCCTTTTTGAATTAAATATTTTTTGGCGCTTCGAATTTTCTCGAATATATTTTTCGATATGCAATTACAACACTTTTTATTGATGTCGTCGATATATACATATATACATATATACCGGGTGTCTTATTTTATTTTGAATAGTTAATATCTAAAAATAGTAAATATCTAAAATATAGTAAATATCTAAAAATCATGGAATTTTAGAAAAAAATGTTTTGTACAAAAGTTCTATGATTTCTTCAAACGACTATACAAAGTCAAACTAATGACATAAGATGGTGTTATTAGTTTGACTTTGTATAGTCGTTTGAAGATCACGTAAAGGTCACCTTCAATTTCTTAAATGGGAACCTCCATTTTTTATTGCATATACTTGTAGCTTACCTCAAGAGCTTTTCAAAATACTAAATAAAGTTCCTTTCCATTAAATATTTTCTGAATTATGTGGCTTGAAAAGTACAGCATCGCCAGCATTAGTATTACCCGAAACTGATTTTTACGTAATCTTAACAATGCTATTTAAAGTCACACTAACATTGATAAAATATTTTATTTTCAAAATTTGAGAAAATAATTCGTTGTTTCAAATAAAAGTTGTAGTATTTTAAGTAGCGCATTTATAATAGCAATGTTAGTGTGACTTTAAAAAGCATTGTTAAGGTCACGTAAAAATCACTTTCGGATAATACTAATGCTGGCGATGCTGTACCTTTCAAGCCTCATAATTCGGAAAATATTTAATAAAAAGGAACTTTATTTAGTGTTTTGAGAAGCTCTTGAGATAAGCTACAAGTATATGCAATGAAAAATGGAGGTTTCCATTTAAGAAATTGAAGGTGACTTTTACGTGATCTTCAAATGATTATCCAAGGTCAAACTAATGACATCATCTTATGTCCTCCTCGAAATCATAAAACTTTTGTACGAAACATTTTTTTGTAAAATTTCATGATTTCTAGATATTTGACTGTTTAAAATAAAATGGGACATCCGGTATACTATATATATATTAATGAGAGTTTATAAATAATCTAAAGTGATTGATATTGCAATAGATATATATTTTTCATTAAGAAATATTATTTTTATTTATGTTAATTTAATTAACTGCTATTTTTGTTAATTATCGCATTATTAAACTGGATGTACATTTGATGTGTTGGATGTATATTTGATGTATATTTGATATTATGTGATTTGATACGACGTGACATTCGTAACGTGCGCATGCAACTTTATGCGTAATACCTTCACTATAATCCATTGTTGTCGCGAAATTAAAATATGATTGCTCATTTTGTGACACTTGCTGTTCTTCTTGCTGTTGTTTTTGCATCACTGATTCTTGTTGAAATGTTGATGAGTGTTCAAGAATGTTCATAGGTTCCATTTTTATATTCCCCCACAAACCACTTTTGTCGTTGCTAAATAGTTCATAGCTTTGATAATTATTAATACCATTTTGATTATTTGTCAATGAAGTTATTGCGGTAGAACATTGATAGTATTTATCTAGAAATTCTTTAGAATTGCAGCTGTTTTGCAACTGATTGTGTTTGAAGTTTTGGAGCAACATCGCTCTTAATGTTTTATTAATTTCCCGGGAATAAAATTCGATGTACAATTGATACGCGATCTTTGCGATCGAAATCCAATCTGATATACATATGCCTATTTACCGAAGATACGATTTTTGGCAAAAACTTTGATATTTTTCACTCTTCGCAAACTTAGAAATTAAGCCGATGTTTTAGTTGTACCTGCCAACGAAAGACTGTCCCACTGAATTCTTTTCTATTTCTATATATACAACCTTTGCAGGTATCTAGGATAATGAACGAGGATTGGTGGAAACCTTGCGATCTACGATAACCACGAATAGCTGTTTACAACGACAATGACGTCATTACTTCTTAACTTTCGAGTTAGGCATTTTTGCGTCGAAAGTTTTGTCTAGATAATTCTATCTATTATTTTTGTTTATCATGACTGCTCGTTGAGAAATCATAGAGCCTCACATTTATCTTGATTTATTTTATACATATAATTTGTAATTTATTTTAAAAATATTATATTTAATTTTTTACATCTGTCAAACTTGGATCTATTCAGACAAATTTGAATAGTCGTACAATGTACAGAAAAATTTAATAATTATGATGATGAAAATGTGTAAAAATATGGTATCATTTTTGATAAATACTGACATTAATTTATACATCACGGATCACTAGGAATTTGTAAAGCTGCATTGCTATACTTAATTCGAAATTCTTAGCAAAATTAAACACAGTAATCCTGAAGCGTACTGACAGTAACACAGCAACAAGCAAATGTAAACAAAGAGATATAAACACATAAATAGAATATTACGAAACAATAATACAAGTAGGTATGAAAATTGTGATATTTTAAGTGGCATATCTCTCAGGAACCAAAAGAGAGAAACTCTGTATAATTTCAATGTATTATTTAGGAATACATCCTTTATAATACATGTATATTAAAAAGAGAATAATCCGTAATGTATAAGTTAATGTCAACATTTATCGCACTTTTTTGTATTAGACATATATGATTTCTTTGTGCTTGGTGTTATGCAAGTTTGTTTGAATAAAGACACTAAATTGTTTTTAAACACAATTTTAAATTTAGTTTATATAATTCTCTGATTTTTTAACATTTCGTTCATCAGTATACGCGATATAAATTGTTGACTTTATGGACAGACTTTTCCCGCGAATTTATGTTATGAAACAGCGATATGGGGAGGTGAGAGAAGGAAAAACGTGGATCGAGTCCGGACTTCGAGATACGAAACCGGGAGATTGATCAGCGTCATCCTGTCCGTCTATCCCTGGACTCCTCCGGTATTCCTCCTCCCCTTTCACCCCACCGCAAGATTCTATATTGTCTTTTTGTCCGTTTCGCGTCTCTTTTCCGCGCGCCTCTCTCCTTCTTACTTCAATCCTTCTATCCTTCTCCGTCTTTCCTCTCCTCTCGGAATCAGCCATTCTCCATCCGCGCCAGAGAGCTGTCTGCAGATCCGCGCCACCGGTTTTCCAACCTTCCTCGCCCACCCCAAGGACGAACATCCACCGACTCTCGGCCACATCCACCCCTCGCCGAAGCTTCCTCGTCGTCTGAGCGTCCTCTTTTTCTACGCCTGCTTGTTCCGTAGACAAAGATCGCCGCGATAGAAAAAGGAAGCCAACGGCCGGAGGGACGGAGGGCGGGGATGAGGGTGAGTAATACCGTAGGAAGAAAAAAAGGAGAGAGAGCATCCTCTCGTTGCTTCTTTCGTTCTCTTCTTGCAATCAACTTTTTGGGCGGGATCACGCGTCCGCACCTTCGCCGTTTCCGTTTTACCGCCGAAAATTATTGCTTCACGCTGCGATATCCGCGCTTCTGATTCACGGATATTTCAGAAGCTCATAAAATATTCATCTCGTAAGAAAGTATGTATAGAGATACGATTAAACGTGAGAAAAAACTTTTTTTTAATTCCTTCGAATATAAGTACGGATTATTGCAGTGACGTTTATACCTAGCGCATAGCGCAATTAATAGAAGATAGAGACATAGATTAAGATACAATACTATATGATATTTTGCATCAATTTATTCATATTATAATGATAAAATGCATAAATATGTGAGAAACTCTTTGTGAATAATGATAGTAAAATTCTAGTGTGTAAAAAAATTAATGTGCATTCTATAATTTCGACGTTTTGAAAATATTTTGAAAATATATAAGCAAGGAAGTATCGGTCTATATTTGTCGCGATTGTTCACCGAAGAAAAAGATTTTTCTACTAATCGTTATAAAGGAACGTGAAGGGTAAAATGCCATAAATTTTACTTCAGATCTGCATCAAATTGATAAAGGCATTTCATGTGTTTAACTTTCTCTGATGATATCACAGATTTTCGAATGAATAGAAAATCCTTCAACGTGACTAATGCGTTGTGAAAAAAAAAACCAACGAACTTCCTCTATAGTTTCAAAGAAATGCTAATGATGTTCGACAAATTTTTCTTTGCATTTTTTATCAATGTGAAAAATCGAGTTATTTTAAAGCTCGATATTAGGAGTATGATTTTTCTTATCACACGAATGCGATTATCAATCTTAATACAGTTTATATCTCAAAAGCACTCCTTACGTTTATATCTACGCAATAATGAATAATTATCGCGCGTGTCGCACGCGCGAATAGTCTTCGAGATGTCGAGGCGCGCATTGATATAGAGAGCAACGGAGATGACGAACGGAGGAAGATATTTTAACCGCAAGAACGAGTGAGCTGACATCAGGAAGAAGGAGAGGCGGGTATGAAGGGCTTGGTTGGAATACGGGGAGATAGTAGACAACGTGCATACGTATACAGAGACGATGGGTGAGTAAGGCGATGGAGGACAGGAAGGTGGACGGGGATTGTAGGGGAGAGAGGAAGAAGAGAGTGAAGGGAGAGGATCGGTTGAAGTAGGAGGGTAAACCTTTCCCGACCCTTAGCAACGCTCTCGCGACGCGCTATCCTGCGGATAACATCAGCGGCTTCAGGGCAGGAAATGAAAATCGCGCCGACACTGTTTAATTTAGATAAAAGCATATGTTACACGACGAATGGCGTCTCTCTCTCTCTCTCTCTCTCTCCTTTTTACATGAAATGGTATATCCTTAGAGAGGCCACATTATGTCTTTTCTCAGAAGGAATTCGCGCGAAGAGACGCGCACAGCAAGAACGGGGTCGTTCAATTTTCGCTTACTTGTCCGCGTCTAAACGCGTACAATTTTCTGAGACGATGTGTCATAAATTGCAATATAAATTTATATATTTTAACGGTTAAAAGATTAATAGGTCCATGTATAAGATGTATATATAAGATATGGATGTCTCTATGTGCAAAATTATACAAGATGTATTATGTATGTGATTACATGTGTTGTATAATTTTTAATTATTATAAATTATTTATCGATATTTTTTCTTAATCAATTATTTCCAAATACGTATCAATGCTCGTACCAGTATATAATTAATGTATTAATGCTAATCGATTCGATCGTATTAAGATGTCGTGATCGGGGAAATGTCGAAGAAAAACGACGGTTCTTCGACGGAATGAGTCGAAAATCGTTTTTACCGGGAATCGGGACTCTTCGGGACATCGCGCGCAAGAAGCACTCGCGGATATGACGTGTTTTTATCGGCGGTACCACGGCCAAAACCCCGAAGAGTCGTCAACTCCAAGCCGGATGCCGAGATTCGTGCGAGCAGATAGAAAAGGCATAGCACTTTTATACTCTGGAGGTTAAAGTTTAGGAAGTTATTTTGACTCTCGGTTGAATGCCTTTGCCCACACCGTACTTTGGTGAGAAAAGCAACCCTGTCAGCTTGCTTGACGTCTCCCGTCATAGCCACCCTCACCATCGTGAGGATTTTCCCTCTCATCATCCTCTTGTCTATCTTTCTTCTTGTCCTTTCTCTCATCCAGCTATTGTTATTCCTATCGAGTTGACTTTCTTTTAATTAAAAATCTTTCTTTTTTTCTTATTTTATAGAATCTTTTTAAAATTTAGAAGATAATTATAAGTTCGTGGATATTATATACACATATACCGTTTTTTTTTTTCACAATCATTTCAATCTTGTATTTTGAATTTTGTACTTTATTATCTTGCTTTATATTTCATTTTCTCGCTCTATTGCATTATTTTTTCTATAATTTTTTTTCTCTTGTCCGTTCCGTGTCCCACGGTTCGAGCAAAAAGTTAGAAATCTTATAGTAGAAGTTTACTGAATACAAAATCAGAGTATCCCTCCATGTCGCTATCCAACTTGTATCGTATTTTAATGAAACCAACTTGCTACGGTTCTGCATCTCAGTACGATATTCAAAATTCTGATTCTTTATCGTTTTTATTACAAAATTTTAATCTTTCCAACTTTGTAACTATATCTTTCGTAACTATATCTATACATCTAATAAATAAAGATAATATAGTATGCGTATTGATCTAAAATTCTAAAATTCAAGTAATAAATATTCGATACCATTAATCTAGAGTTTATAGAACAAGCAAAAAGTAAAAATAAGATTTTAATTTTATATATCATTGTTAATTAAATACATTTAAAATAACAATAGAAAAATCTGCTTGTTCAGAGAAGAAATGTAACAATTAAAGTTATTTTTTTCCAAAATCATTTTCATTATCATTATTTTCAGACGAAAATATTTAAGTATACTGTCTTGAGAATGTGGTCACTTTTAAAAATATTGAAAAATAAAAACTTGCAAAATTTATAATATACAACGTCTAATTAGAAATGCGGACATGCTTTCCAAGATTCATCTAGAAAATTTTTAATCTTGTCAATTAAACGTTTAAGTTTTTTTAAGTCAACTACTTTCTAATATCTAAGATAATTCTACGGTGTACTTTTATCTAAACATTGATTGCACTAGTCTAAGTTTTACAATATATTATTTCTTCACTTTTATATTGCTTACCACATCACTAATTTTATCTTTATTTTTTAATTGTTTTAGCTTTCACTTTTACATCCGACACCTTTTTTTTATAGCCATGTAATGACGCGAGAATAAAAAATAATCTTTCTCTATAAAATATAACAAGATCATCAATGGAATATAATTTACAAGTTATTAAATAAATAACGTTTAATTTAATAAACAAATAACGTTTAAATTATTAAATAACGTTTCAATTCTTTTAATAATATGCAATTAGTATGTTTCTCATTTACTAAAAATTTATATGTAAAA